ATGGACCATATTCCCTTTTGACTTTGAGATTTAAGGGTGATTTTATCACACCAAAATTTGAAGTAGCGATGACGGCATGGCCATGTTTATGATCAATCTGTAACACACGAGGGTCAATGCAAAAGTTGAAAGAAAAAACTCACAAGGGAAAATATACAAAATTGCTAAAGCTGTGTTTGGTTGCAATGCAAATAAATTTGCACTGATGCAAATCTATGACAGTGCAAATGATTTGAGTGTAAATTCTGACTTACTTTAGTTTATTTTATTTTATTATAGTACAAATAAAATAAATTAAGACATAAAATAGAATAAAGTAAAATCCAAACAAAATTAAACAAGAATTTATATTTTTTTTGGATTTACACTCGCATGCATTTATATTAATACAAATAAATTTGCATCGCAACCAAACACAGCCTAAAAATAGAAGCATAGATACAAAAGTCCCTAAAATAAGACCAATAAATTATGGAGATATGTGACTAAACCAGACAACCACCCATCAAATGAATGGCCCCAGGTTTGCTATGCCAATCCTCAATATGATGGAATAACCTTGATAGTACAAGTTTCACAGTCCACAATAATGGAGATACATCTCTCACTCCACGAAAACATATATAGCATCAATGTTTCAAAAATCAACCCAGAACTGAAAACGCTTTGGCCACCTGATTTTGGGTCAGTGGTTCAATGGTCTGATCTGAATGGATCGGTTCATGATTATCTAAAATAAAAAAATAATAATAATTAAAATAAAAAACTATCCTTGTTTGAGTCAAATGGGTTGAGGGTTTGGCCACCAGGTCAAGGTCACTAACCAATTTGAAAAGTCTGTGAATGCAGTGATCTCTCTATACACGTAAAGCAAAACCATACCAATTACATCTAAGCTTAATTAGATAGAGAAATGTTTAAACAATGATAATTCCAAAGCTTTTACGTGCACTGCACATGCCAGTGAGCGGTCAATATGATTTGTTGTATGACCACAGAATATTTTACACGAATTCTATGAATTCTGGTTAAATAAATAGCCTCGGGATTTGTTAGAACATCTTCTCTTCAAGTAAAATTTCCTTTGTAATACAGTTGTGTGGTAAGTTGCTTGCAGTGTCGTTCTAAGTTAAGCCGTTGGACTTCGCAAGCTTCTAATGGCTGCGTTTGGATTGCTGGAACATAATGGATCTGAATTCCGTTTGCCAATATCAAATGGCTGGCTCATAGGGAGGAATTTGAACTAGTTTTTTTCATGTTGGTCGTGCTTTTGCCAAAGAAAGACTCCCAAACCTTAGAATTTGAAGTTTTAAGGCCTTGTTTGCATTTCAATAAATGGTTTATCCCGATAAATACATTTATCCGGGCAAGTGTTTTTTAGAATATATTTATCCAGATAAGAGCACTTATCAGTGTTCTTTTATTCCCCATATTAAAGTGTATGATAACTGATTTATCCAAAAAAAATATTGTTCCATCACATATTAGCAATTTTCAATGCATGGATAAATAATTTATCCAAATCTGAAGAGGGTATTGCTTCTCTAAGTAAATGAGCTGCTCAAGAATTGTTATTTTCCATAAAACCCACTAATTTCAAAAACAAACATGGGTTCCCCTATTTTTTTCATGGAATCTACCAATTTACCCACCCTTATTTCCCAAAAAACGAACACTGAAGGTAGAGGAGGGGATGGGGAAAGAAGCAAGTGACTTGACATGGTAAATTTGATGTTGAAGGGGCATTCAAGTCATGAAGTTGGGTGGCTGGATTCTTTCAGACTTTAGATGACAGCAAGGTTCAAAGTATCAACACGTATCGGCCGATACGTATCGTTTTGAGACCTCTACGATATACCCTACAATGGGTGTATCGGAGGTCTGACCAGTTCAGGGGGTAGAGGAGACCTAAACCAGCCCCCATGAACTAGTTGCGAAAAAAAAAAAATCTCCAAAATGTGTATCGATTCAACCGATATACCCCTATTGGCATATCGATATTTTGAACCTTGGATGACAGTAAAGTGGGATTTTGTTGGAATTTGGAGTAAGTTCATTTGTTTCTTTTAAGGTTTTTTGTGCAGAGATTGTAGATTTGCATGTGATTGAGAGCCATTGTGGCTTCCATCAAAATCAATATATCTGTACTTTTCTTTTTGATTTTGGTTTTAATAAACATTTACTTGCGTTGAGTTCTGTGCAATTTATCAAAGTTGAATATATACATAGCATTTGTTCTTATACTAGTAATACTTGAACACGTGACTACATGATAAATACCTCAGTACTCGTTATTTTTAACCTAAGACCAAAAGATATTCATCCATTGAAGGGTTTGGATTTAAGTTGGCATATCAGTCATGTTCATGAAATGGCATCAAATTCGACTCTGTATAATATAGACATTTGATAATTGGTTTTTTTTTTTTTCTAAAAAATAGGGACCCTTGAAGCATTGCTGGCTCGCTCGCTCGCTCTCTCTCTCTCTAATCCTACAATTTACAATATGATTCATTATTAGAATCACTAACCCAATTCTATAAATGGTTTCAATTTTATTTTGGTAAAATACAAATGGTTTCAATTTGAAACTTATGTCTTTGTCCTTTTCTTCAAAAATACTGCAATTCTTGTTTAAATCCTACCATTTGATTCATGAATCTCACGGTCCATTCGATTCATGCAATTCAAAGCAGTTCAATTAATAATTAGTTCTATAATTTGTCATTTCATTGTTTTTTTTTAAGTTTTGCCCAAGGATTAAAGTATCAGTATCAAGTAGTGAATTGGACAACCTGAATACAGATACAAATACAGATATGCTTTGAAACATGGATAAAGACGAAAAATATGGAAACGCTTGGATACACAAAGAAAAATGAATATAAATTCTATAAATATATTAATAATATTAAATTTAAAACCAAAATAGCTACAAATAATACATAAAAATATAGGAATTGTATATTTTAATGGTACATATGAAGGAGCATATTACAATTAATATATTGGGATGCATAAATATTTTATAATTTTATTGATAATGCATCAATCAAAAGTCCAAAATACATATTATATAGATTTTTATAAATTAATACATACACAAAGTCACTATTTTATTTTTTACTAAAATCCAAGGCACAAAACATATGCAACTATAATATTTGAATTATTATATCAATTTTTTTTTCTATTTTACTAGTTATAATTTTTATCATTAGCAAAAATGTCAACTAAAAAATTAATTCTAGTAGTCGAACAAGACTACAATATATTTTAAATATTTAATGAAAAGTCAAATAAAGATAAAAGAAAGAGGGAGAGAAGAGAAGAGAAGAAAAGGAGAAGAAAAATTCGAAGATAGGTTTCAAAAAAGGAGACAAAAGCTATTGCCGCCCCCTTTACTAGTATTTATATTCATATCTAAATAGATGCAAAAGGGCTAAACTACCCTTATTGCTAACATGGCAAAAAGAATAAAACAAATCAATAATATAATAAACAACTAACATAACTAACTGTGTACAGGCACAATGGGGTCCACATCACTATTCTCTACAATTCTCAAATTTTTAGTAAACAGCATTTTCATTTTTGTAAACAATAAATATGCTATTATGAAATCTAAGCTAAAGCATTAATTAATAATTTATAAAAATATATAATCCTAACTTAAAATAGATCAAATCTATTAAAGTTTTAAAGATACATATATGAAAATTTATTTTTATAATTTTTTTTAAATTAAAAATTATTTTTTGATATAAATGTAGATTAGTGGATTTGATAGATTCAAATTATATTATATTTTTAAATATTTTGTAAATAATGTTTTTATTTTTATAAATAATAAATACATTGTTATTTAATGCAAATTAAAATATTAACTAATAAATTATAAAAAATGTTAAAATACACATCATGCATAATTGTATAAATTTTAAGTATTGAAATAATTATTCTATTATTAATATTTTAAAATTATTAAAACTAAAAATAACTTTTTGATATAAATGTGGGCTTGATAGATTATTTATTCCATTGGTTTGTAAAATACTAATTTTGAATATTATTCTTTTAATTTGTAATTAAAATTGTTGAAGATAAGTATGTATTGCTTGTTAGGATTTCATATATTATCTTATTTCGTTTATTATCATGAAATAAGGTTTGGCTGGGTAGTTAAGGTGCATGGACTCCTTGGGCGCTAGACGATCTTTGTTCCTAAGTTCGAATCATGTTAGAGCCTTTTTTATAGTGAATTCACACTTGTTAAATTTACATTCGATACGCTTCCATATCAGTGTATATCGAACCATATCGACCGATACTATGTGATATGCACCAATACGACGACGAATCAGATCAATATGCATGATTGGAAGGATATGCCTCCAACATATCTCGTACTGGTATGGTCTGATACCAAAATGATACACTCCATATTAGACATATCGTGTCGATATTTTAATCTTTGGTTTTGCTCAATGAGACTTGTTTTAAAATCGTTATTGGAAAATGATTAATTCATGTTATTTAAGATATTTTAGTAAAAAAATATTGAGTTTATTTTCCATCATTTTAAGTTAAGGAGCCATTGTATATAAATTATTTGACCTTTAGCAAACTTGGTTATATCATTGAGGCTTCTTTTTAGGCACAAACATGGAAAAAAACCTTAGAATTAGAATTACAAGATTTGCATTTTTTTTATTGCATAATTAACAAATCTAATTCCACCTCCAATTCCAAAAACAACCTTAACTTCAAACTTATTACTTCTAATTCATCATCAAAATAATCATTTTGGAAATATCCATATGTCCTGATCTCAATATTGATTATTCTAAGTGAAGAAAGAGAAAACACAAATTTTATAATGAATTTGCAAAATACATAACAAAATCTACTAGAATACAAAACTAGATGCATTTGACAAATTTAATGTAACCAATATTGTCAAAATCTTATAATTTACAATATGCTTCAAGATTTGAATCATGAACCCCAAAGATTTTGATTTGAATCATATGTTTGAATCGTTTTATACAAAAATCAAACAAATTTTGTTTGAATCCTACAATTTGATTCATAAATCTTATAATTTATAAGATTCCTACATTTTAAAGCAATTCAATATCAGAATCAGAATAAGTTGGAATGGATTCTCATTCCCAAGGGATGGGTAGGGAATGACCATTCACTCAAATGGCGTAATGCCATTCCAGTTCTACCAAATCAAACAGTTGGAGATTCTGATTCCATACCCCCTACCTGCAAGCCAAATGAAGCCTAAGTTTATTTTCCATCATATGTTGGATAAAATGCCATTGTATGTGAGTTATTTGAGTTTCAAGTCAAACTTGATTATACTTCTATTGTATAAATGATAACTACTATTGTTTTAGGTATATAAGTAGATACGGATTAAAAATTGGTAGAGTCACTGTTTTTTTTTTTTTTTAATCAGCAACACAGAAATGATTTCATTAATAAAAAATAGGCATGAGTACAACAAGAGGTTGTGAAAAGAGGAGAAAAGCACAGCTATGGAAAAGCTGACCTCACCCAGATATTACAATTGAGCCCAATGCAATTGAGTTCTGCGTAGCCCTTGCTTAGCTAGACCATCTGCCAAGCTGTTGGCAGTTCTTCTTACTCAACTTTGATAATCAAATCCTTTGCTAACCAATTAAAACGCCTGAAGTCATTCCCACCACCCCATGTCACCTCCTCTCCTTCAGCCATTTCTCGAATCACCCTCAATGACTAGGCTATTGATGCCCAGCTCCTTTGCCTTCTCAACCCCGTATACTGTAGTTAACAGTTATGCTCTTGCCACACCACCCCGTTCAGCAGGCCCTGAGTATAAAGGCTATCATTACCCCCCGCCCTCCCCATGCCTGAGGGGCCTGGGTTACCCAAACAACTCCCATCAAAATTCAGTTTCTTCCAGTCACATAATGGGGGTGACCACATCTCAGCAGGTTTCTGTCTTCTAGAAGATGAACCAACAATAACAGCCCAAGCCCTAAAAAAAGGCTGTTCTATGTGTACTTAGCCTTTTTTGCTTATCTATATTTCATTTTTTGACAATTTGTAAAAAATGGAAACAATTTTATGATTTACAATATAATTCATGATTTGATTTGATTCAACTTTCTCTATGATTTACAATACAATTATGATTTTTAAAACATATAATGTAACTATATAAAATATAGCATATGAACATTTATCTACAATTCTGCATCTGTTTAACAAAGCAATTGACAATTACAGGTGTCCAACAATGAAAACTTTGGTGTCTGAAAACAGATGCTTGCAATTATTAAAAGCCTGTTGAGTTGCATCTAGAGTCCCAGCAGATCGACATATGCTTAAACATTCAGATTAGAGGGGACTAATTTAGTTTCTTTAAACCCAAAAAAAAAGGGCTAGGTGCTCAAATTATATGATTAATTAACTCTTTAAGGATCAAAAGATTAAAAAAATATAAGCAAGTACTACGCAACAAGTCCAAAATGATTTCAATTCTTAAGACTTGGGAGACATATATAACCTAGAGAACACGGGTATCATTTACAGCTGGAGTGACCCCAAAACTCAAAACTGTTCAACATTCAGACAAATGTAGAATCAGATTTACCTTTTCTTGTTGTAAATGAGAATCATATATACCTGAGCATAATCATGTTGGGTTTTTAAATCCTCAGCCATTAGTGTTGATGAAGAAGAAAGAATTACTTTTTCCACAAACATGGATAATTACGAAGCACTTGACATTTAATCAAGATAAGAAAAAGAGAACAGAGAAACACTAAAAGGCTCTATTTGGGAAGAGTGCAAATACAAATATATAGAGTGCATTCTGGTCCATGCATTCCAGTACATGTTGGTTTAGTTTTGCATTGATAAAGTTATTTTCTTGCCAAACAATTTTTAGTTGTGATAGGTGCAAAACACAAATCCCAAAACTGGAATACACCTTTTTAACATCGATCAACTTTGAGTGCAAAGTTTACATCCATTTTTTGGATGCAATCTTTGCTCTCATTTGAATGCAAACATGTACTGGAATCTGTCTTTTTTGTCATTGTCAAGACACAAATGCATTCTTGCCAAACACCAGCAAAACTGAGCCAGAGTACATATATCCACTGAACCGTCATTTGCACTATTCCCAAACAGAGCCAAAGGTGTATCCTCACAAATCAGTGTCTACAATCTCCAAAATAATCCTTCTAATCACAATTCTAAAAGACCATCCATTTCTGGAGATAGGCAGCCTAAACTTACCCATATAGGCATCTAAAACAAAAAAAAAAAAAAAAATCCCCTTATCCAGGTTCAATACTCCTGCTCATATAAAACTAACTAAAATCAATACCTAATACTCAACATAATTTCAAAGACAGATTTCTCAATGTCGCATGGATATGCTTCTGGTGTGGAATGCTTTTGTCACCTGCTAAAGTTTGTAGACAAGCCCATCTGCCTCTATCCAACTGCAACTTTCTGTTTTGGGCAATCCCCTTATGTTTCGGATTCTCCTCATCCAACATCAACCTTTGCAACAATATCCAACCTATTGGCCCAAAGCATAAATCTTAGAAAACAGCACATATTTAGCAGGATCCTCTGGCCCCATTATTGAGAAGCTTTCCTGCAGAAACTTCACCAATTTCAGCATCGCACTAAGTTTCACATAAACAACGACCCCCATATGCTAGCATGAGGTTCTACCTTCATTGTTTTACCAAACCAATAAGCTTCCTCAACAAATCTTGCATGGTCTACAAGATCAACCATCAAGCATAGTGATCAACCAAAGGCTTTATTTTCAAGCCTCCAGTCATGCAACTAAGACATTAATTACCCGTATCTAGCAGGCTAGCATGGCTCCATGCAGTAAAAACACCCCGAATGTGACTGCATCTGGCTGCAAAAGACCAACTAACAACTCCAAGTTTGAGGGCATCTTCTGCACGCCCATGGTTAGCAAAACCTACAATTATTGCATTATAACACACTATGTCCTTGAAGGCATCTTGCCAAACACTTGATAAGCATCATTGTCCAACATCTAGCATACATGTCAACCAAAGAGTTGAAGATGTGGGTATTCATTTCCATGCCACTATGATTTTTAAAGCACTCGTGTATTTCTTTTTCTCTTCTCAGAGCTCCAATGCATCCACAGACTGAAATGGCAACAGCCATGGTTACTTGATTGGGCCCTACATTCTCCACTTTCATATAATTGAAAAGTACCAGAACTTTTTTATACTCTCCACTGTGAGAGTAAGCCATAAGCAATGCATTTCAAGAAGACACATCCCTCAGATACATCCAATCAAAAAGTTCCTGTGCAGCTTGCAAATTTCCATGATTAGTATAACATGGGGTCATGGTGGCCCACCAAACTAAAATCCCTTTGAGTTATATTGTCAAACGTTTCGCTGGCAGCTCCAACATTTCCATCACAAGATTCTTCTCACATGCAGTTCCAACACAGTTGCTTCAATGCAGCCAAACTTGGCATAGATGCCCACCATTGCACCATTCCCAGTTTAGAAGCATGAATATGGATGCAGTTGCCTTCTTGAACATCCAATAAAGTGAAAATTATATAAAAAGAGGTAAAATAAGCCTGTGGAAGTGATGTTGGAAGATTATTTCATCAAAGATCTACATTTGATGTTAAAAACAAAAACAAGGATGTGATCTTTCTCATAAGCTAACTTTGCTTATTCATAAGCCGAAAAAAAAAATTAACAAAAACTCAGACAAGATGTTTCTGACTGGAAATTGCTGTATCAAGAACAAGTAATCCACAGCTAAAAGAAGGTTTCCAGTTAAAAATATAATAGTAAACACTGAAAAAGGAATATCCCAGCTCTCAAACCTCCTCGCCACTAGATTGGCTGTCTGCGCCTGAGTCTATGGCCCTCAATCTTTCAGCCATCATCCGTTCCCTGTTCTGGGTCTGTCTTTCTACACCGACCATCCACAACCCTAAAAACAGTAATAGTAGAAAACAAAGAAATCAAGATGTTGGGGGTAGAATATCAAATTGGTGCCAAATGCAGTTGCGGAGCATCAATACAAACCTATGGCACTTCCGATTGCACATAACCACAGGATCCTCATTGACCATTTATCCCCAATAACTCCTCTGCTTCCCATCTTTTGCCACCAATAAACAGAAGTTAAATTGTAGCAGATCCGGAGCCACTCTCGAGGTGAAGGGTGTCCAAACCCTCAGCAGCTCAGCGTCGAATGACAGAGCAGGGTATTAGCGTTAAGGAATTTGAACCACTTCAACTATGTTTGGGAGGGCTGAAGCTTTCATTGAGCTGCTTTCGCAGAGCCGCTTTGAAGGAGTTACTAGTTTCAAAATTTTCACTGAACATTCTTTATGAGCTGTCCGGGTGGAGCCCACCTTGCAAAGTTAAGCACCTGAAAACTCTCAAAAATGCCCCTGAGGGCTGTTTTGATTGAGCTGCTTTGAAGAAACTATTAAAACAAAAATTAGCATCTGCTCCCCACATCACATCCCAACCGTGTATCGGAAATATCTCTCAATAATAACTATGGACGATACGAACTCTTAAAACAAACTTCACCAGAAAGCCAATTTTCTGAGTGAACGAAAGCGAATTTGAGCTTTTTGAGGTTTTTTGCATTAAGTTGTTAGTTGCAACTTGGGCTAGACTAGCCCGAACCCAACAAAAAAAAATTGGATTAAAACTTGGGTTATGTTAAAAGTATGAATTCAACTTAACTTGAGGTTGGGATAGGGTTGAGGCCTTGGCTACACATATCTAATCTGCAACATTAACCCAACCCAGACCCAATTCAACTTCATATCTGAAGTTCAAATCAGCCCCCTACAACGTCCCACAGCATATCCCCACCCCCACCATGTATTAGCCTATTATTCTCTCTTCTTGTATTGCTTCCCAAGTTTCAACTCTAGAATTTTCTGGTTTTATGAATTTCTAAGAAAAAAAAATCAAACATAGGTCTACTTGAATTCATCCACAACTATTTCAGTTTATTTTTTATTTGGAAACTAAGGGAGTGTTTTACAACATGAATGTTTTTGTTTTCATTTGTTGGAATTGTTACATCAGCAAAAAGGCCAAAACATGTTCTTAACTCTGTTTTTGTTAACAAAGTAAAAAAACACGTTAATTTTGTTTCAAAAACAATACATGTTTTGGAACCAACAAAGCATTGGGTTTTAAAACAAAAATAAATTTTCTACTATAGAAATTATATGATTTTATAGAACATCATGTTGAATAATCAAATGAAAACATGTTTTTGAAGTCACCTTTTTTGTTTCAGTTTTGAAAATAAAAAACACATATACAACCAAGAACATGTTTCTTGTGTTTTTGTTTTAAGAAACAATCTATTTTCATAAAAGATGATTTTGATTTGATTTTAGAACCAACAACAAGAAAAACAATTCAAATTGTTGAACACTCCGTAAATGCATTCACTCCCCTATTTTTATGCAAGCACCTATGTACGGATGCATGTGTGCAGATATGTGTATATAGTTTTTATCTAAAACTCGCATTTTCACTTTACCCTTAAATTTCAAAACCACTCCAGAGATCCCCTTACCATGACTGGCATATTCACTCTCGTAATTGGTTACTTAGCCAGGTTCGCACATTTGCAGTCACGCCAAACCCCATGGTATCAGAAATATGCCACTAAGAAATGAACATTTTTTTTTTCAAAATTACGTTACCCTCAAAGTTTAAGAGAACGAGGGAGGAGATGAGATGTTAAGAGAAATTAGCGGGAAAGTTTCTAACAATGGCATTGTCAGAAAGGTCTTAATGTTCGAAGTCTAGACTCTAGAGATCTTCCTTGTTTCATCTAGTACGGTTCCATTGATCTGGTTATGAGTTATGACTATAGGAAATCGCTTCTAGCTTACCCCAACTTGTGCAAAGAAAAGAAAATGCCTCCAGAGGCTGTACCGATATTGGATGATACCTTTCAGTTCTAGTTTAAACATTAATATCAGTGCTATATTTGTGGAATTGAAAAGAAAAACAGCACAAAAGGAATGTGGACTGTAAATGTCACTACTTTGAGCCATGTAGAAGAACAGGGGCATCTTGGAATAGTATTTTCCTTTCCAACTTTTACACAAGTATCAAACATACATACATATTTGGCCAAACTTTTACCGTGTTATATTTAATGACTTCACTTTTTCCAATATATTTCATTAGCAATTCCGAATTATCCCAAATTGTACACGAATATTTCATATATATGGGGTAGACACATTTCTATTCCAAATTAAGCTCATTAAGTCATTATTTGTCCGCATGGGACGGTGGCCATCAACAAAGGGAAACAACATTACAGCCGAGTTCATAAGACCTTCAAATCTAAAATTAAATTTTGTTTTGAGTTCTCTGAAAGAACTCGTAAGTCGTAACTTCGTTCAAAATGCCACGAGGCCCAAAACCTAGAGAGCAACTGCAAGGGATTGGAGACATTAATCCACAGAGAGCTAATTTACAAATCCCCACTCCCGTTTCCAGGGGAAACAAGACAAGTCACAACTCAACACAAGTCGCTTAAAACACGTACATATGAAATGCTCATCTGGCCCTCTATATATTCTTGATAACCGCATACAACTACAATCTACAGCCATGTAAAGAGTGTTTAAGCAAAGAATATATGAGCTATACTCCTCGATTAAGAAGTGTCACGACCAAAATGGGTAGTCCTAACAAACTTATTTTAAAAGAAAGGAAAAGAAAAGGAGTACTATATGTTAACTTGTAAATTGGACACCATCAATATGGATCAAGGGGGGTCTGGCACGCTTCATTCTCAAAACAGCAACTCTTGATTGGGAGTGAGCATCATACACTAAAGGTTAGATAAAAGAGAGAATGTATAAAAAAAAATTCCTCACAAAAAGACAGGTGCCATGACCAGTGTAATGGTTGCGAGCATCTTGATAAGGACATGAAGTGAAGGCCCAGCTGTGTCTTTGAATGGATCTCCAACCCTGCAAAAGTAAAAGGGTCCTATTAGGACATCTACACTGGGGTCATAGTCTGATAGAGAAAACATCTATTAAACCAAAAAAAAAAAAAAAAGCAGCCCTAGATGGCACTACAACATTGCCAAATAGACTGACTGAAGAAAATTAGATGTACCGAGATACAATTAGCAACCAAGGTTGTATTTATTTCTTATTTTACTATGCAATAAATGGGAAAAAGACCACCAATTTTCTAACATGATTGCGGGTACAACTTAATAAATAATAAATAAAATCAGGGATGAAAAAACCATAATAAATCCTTGTGCAATCCTGTCAGTAGGATGGATACAGAATATAGTAAAGCAAAGCAAACCCAAGATGGACATTGATTTACGTGGATCAACCATGGTAATTCTGCACCCCTACTGCAAATTTTGATAATGACAAAAGAACAAAAAGCCAATAATCTAAATTTGTCATGGTAAAGAGGTAGGCTAACATCAATAGCACATCACACTTGCATGAAAAAGAAATTAAATTTGTTTTCTTTGGTCAACAGTCAAACCCATATAACCATATTGTTGGGATAAGGCATTGATGATGATGATGATTTTTTTTTTTTTTTTTTGATAAATAAACGATGATGATTTCTTTAGTCAACAGCATTCAGATTTCCTCACTACTTTTGCCCAAGGAAGCAGACATAGCAGGTTCAGTGAGGTCCATGTGCGCTGTCACCTTACCTCAGCCTAAAAGAGTCTGGTATTGCACCATGTGGTGAAAAGAAAGCCTTTTTTTCTTATTACTAAAAGATGAGAACATGCTTTCATAAGCTGAGTTACAACTAAACTTGATTAATATCAGCCATCCAATAACCAAGGAATGCTGACTAGGAATGGACTTTTTTATCAATTGACAAATGGTTGACTTAATGATATTATTCCTCATTCAACTGACCAGCAATGTATAATAGGTACCAATGTACAGTAGGGGACAATGTCTTGAAAACCAGGCATGACCATCTGGTTGAATCATATTCAACCTGAACCAAGTTCCTTTCATGTTCCCAAACATGAATTGCACAGCTATAGCCATGAAACATTCATCCAGGTCCTGGTTTTTTCCATTTTCTTACTATTTTATCAGTCTACTTATGGCCTCATATTAATCTTAAATGCCCTAGTCAGGCATCAAAAACATTTGTTGGAATAGGGATGGCATGGGTGAGGAAAACTTCAAAAGGGATAATCCGGAATGCTGCTAATCAAATCTATGGCTTGCATTGGCCGCATCAGCTCTCCATGTAAGAAAAAACCATTATATTTACAAGCTCCTACCCATCAAGATATGCATATGCAAGGGACATGGCGACATGCATTATTGTACACAAGGCATGCACATGGCCACCGTAAGCATATCAACATATGCATGCTTGCAGTGCCAAAATGGTTGTTTAAAATGCAGATAGTTTGTAATCTAGTTTTCAACAACAATAAGAATAACAATGATGGTGATGACGATGAAACAAAACTTACGTATCTCCAGTAACTGCTGCCTTGTGACTATCACTCCCCTTGCCTCCTAAAGCACCAGTCTCTATATACTTCTTTGCATTATCCCAAGCACCACCAGCTGTGTTAAGAAAGAGGGCCATAAGAATACCAGATACAGTAGCAAACATGAGCATGGAAGCTACAACTTTAGCTCCCAGTAGAGGATGTCCTGTGAAGTGCCCCAATATCCGGAACAGAAAACCTGCAAGGCAAATCCCATAGAGTATTCAGGAAAAGTCCAAATCCTTGCATATGAAGTTTAATATGGCAGTAAGTATACAAAGTCATATATATAACTCAGCCAAAACAGTCTATTCAGATTCCAACTATGATACCCAGACCCAGAAAGGATCTGGAATGGGTATAATGCAAATATAGATTAAATTGAAGCAACTTGGGAATATCAGGATCCAGTCTCCAAATTTCACAGTTCACTGTAACTTGAAAAGGTACCAAAGCAACCAAAGATTTGAAGCTTTAAAGACCAAGTTTCATGATTTAGTGCTTAAAAAGTTATCAATGTCAATGGTCCAGATTTAAGATCATTATCCTTTTGGTTGAAATTTCCACAACAGTAATAAACCTTTTATCAGAAAAAGCAACAACAGAAGTATACGAAAAAGGACTGAGAACAAAGTAACAATAACAATGTCTATGCATGGACAAACCAACCAAAACAAGATAGCAGATAACTGACCAACAACTATGGGTGATATGATTGCCAAAGCACCAGGCTTTATCATCTCCCGCAGAGATGCCGATGCCACGATAGCAACACAGCGACCGTAATCTGGTTTCTCCTTATAGTCCTGGGATTCATGTGGCATTTGTAAGAGCTACAATCCACGTTCATAATATTTTACATATAATTACAGAACTATATACTTACCATTATACCTGGCCTCTCAATAAATTGTCTTCTTACTTCTTTAACAACCTCCTGAGCAGTTCTACCAACTGCAGCACAAGCCCATGCACTAAAGATGAAAATAAGCATTGAACCCAACAAGCCACCAACGAAAACTTCAGGAATTGCAATGTCAACCTGTAAATTATTGACACTTGGAAAATGAGAAATAATGTAAAAGCATTGGAATTTAAGAAATAATTTCATCATTAAAAAAACACCATACCTGTTTGAAAGGTGTATGGGCAAATGAAGCTACTTCATCCATATAAGCACTAAAAAGGAGGAAAGATGCAAGTGCAGCAGATCCAATGGCAAATCCTTTGGTGGTAGCTTTAGTAGTGTTTCCAACAGCATCAAGAACATCAGTGATCTCACGAACACTTTCAGGCTGTAAAGGATGGACCTTACGTTAAAGTAAATTAAAATGATAAAAGGTCAAAAGCTCAGAACCCGAATATAACACAGTACTGTTTCTAGGTTGAACCAATTTTCAGAAGATGGTACCTGTTGACTCATCTCTACAATTCCACCTGCATTATCAGCAATTGGACCAAACATATCCATGGTCAGAACATATGCAGCAGTGCTAAGCATACCCATAGTTGCTACCGCTGTACCAAACAGACCACCAGTTGGATTTCCATTTTCATCTAACAAGCCTGAAGTGTGACCCAACCAGAAAGCTGAGACAATAGATATGCTTATAACAAGAACGGGAAGAGCAGTTGACTCCAGACCCAAGCTAATGCCAGCAATAATGTTAGTTCCATGCCCTGTAGAACTTGACATAGCTAGTAAGCGTACAGGCTCATGCTTGTAATCAGTGTAATACTTGGTGATCCAAACAAAAACATAGGCTGTGATGATTCCAACCAAGCCACACAAGGCAAAGCTCAGCCATGCAGAAGGTGCTTGTTCAGTATAAAGTAACCAACGAGTGGACTGCAAAGTGAAGTAAAACACCCAAGAGAAAATCAGATAACATCAAGCAAATACAGGTAAAAAGTTTACATGTGCAACATTAAGTTAAAATTTTGTCTTCAAAAAAATGCATTCATATACATAAATTTAAGTGAAGAACAGAAGCACTTGTATAACACCAACTGCATGAATATACTTATAAATCAATGGCAGTAGATGAGAGATTACCACTCCAAACGTAATAACAGCCAAAAATATTGTGATTGAATAGCCCTTCTGAAGAATTGTCATAGGATCCTCTATAGGAGACTTCACTCCAGATTCACGTGTACCCCTGATTGATAGTATTCCAATTGATGATACCACCAGGTCAAAAGAATGAACAACAAGAGGAAACAGGATAAATCCAGATGGATCTGCAAGGGGGAAACATTATCACCAACAGATTTTTTTTTTTTTTTTGATGAATCACCAACAGGAATATTAAGGCAAAGCATGATATTTGTGAAGCAAGGGGACATGGAAATTAATTTTTCTGGGCTGTTTTGCCATGTGATAAACTGGGGGAGAAATGCACTCTACGCTCTCCATTGCTTTATAATCCATTGTACATTCTGTTTATAATTAATGAATAAATGAAAATGGTGCTTATCCAGAAAAAAAAAATCATTCTAATAAAATAGTTGCTTTCTAAAAAAGAAATAGATACATTTTTGATAAATAACAGTATATATTATTTCTATAAGTAAATAACAGTGTAGATTCCATTCATAACATCACCATACTACCCAAAAATCTGGATAGAAGAAACCCAAAGGCAGCAGAAACCTGTGAGATAAGTACTACAAGTTACTTCCTGGTCTAGGCATTTGCCATACAAGATTTTCCTTGGTTACCCATACAATATGGTATCTGGATACTTGTACAAGGATGTTGTACCATTTCAGATACTTCTTAAGTGTAAATTTCATACCTGAGACTATATTCAGCCATGCCCTTGCTGTATCTAGGTAACAAGCTGCCAAAGCATTTGTAGATCTAGGGACCCATTCACCCGTCTGAACGAGTTATTCAGATTGTGACCTAGACCCTGCACCTTTCTAGCTAGGACACTGTACCTCCAAGGAATGTCATCACCTTTTTCTCATCAAACTGAAGATAACTTGACAGTCCCCTTCAATGATTAGGTCTGCGTCCATACATTGATACCAACTTTAGGCCTTCTAAGAGAGCTATGATTTCTGTCTCAAGCAAGCTACATTGGCCCACTGGCCCTGAATCTCTGAGGAGGATATTACCATAGTCTGTGATCACACCACCAATTCCAGAAGCCCCTGGTCTACCTAAACTACAGTTATTGAAATTTAATTTTAGCTTCCCTGCTTCAGTTGCACACCTTTTGTCGTCTTTCTTGATTCCTAACTTGATAGGCTGCAACCATTTGCCATCCTTTCCATAGGCTGTTTGTTGATATTCCTTTGAATTCATCACAGTCAACGCCCAATGGGAAATTCTAATCATGGTAAGATCAATGAAGGAATCAATGTCAACTTCTTGATCTTCAAGTACCCTAACATTTTTCTCACCCCAATACCCACAAAATGGCTGCTCTTTACGTATATAACATTTATTGGTGCACTACAAACTTCCCCAAAAAATAAAACAGAAATGGTTCCAGGGACCTGGGGATAAACTGGCAACTCATAAGGATGTTGCTTCTACTTTCACAAGAAACAAATAAATACATATGAATGAAAAATCAGTAAAAAAGTGAGTTTAAACCATCCTATAATGAAATAAAACTTCATGATATGACCAAAACTCTGAGGAGAAGGAAGGAAAAACAACTATAGCAGATGTTATTGTAATGCCACACTTGTTCACAAGTCACACACCTTACCCACCATGAGCATCATGTCAACCCAAAGAGACATTTTTAGCAATAAGGCTAGCTATGTTCAAGTATATGACAAGATCTGACTGTTTATCTCACAGGGGAATCAACAAAAGACAATAAAGGTGAGCACTTCCAAATTTGAACTAATGTTGGAAGCAATAGAAATCACTAAAACTTAAAAAAAAATAAAATGAAGCAAGTTCTTGCCTTCAATCTTGCAACGTTGAGCCATTGTTCCCCCAAGTATCATAGCACTAATTATTTCTGCTGCGATACTTTCAAAAAGATCAGCACCCCGAGCTGCACAGTCACCCACATTGTCTCCAACCTTGATCATGACAATGAAGATACTTAGAAGTCATTCCACTAGAACCTACAAATGCACTCATAAAAAAATTAAAAAAATGCGAAGGATACATAAAAAATGATGTTTCAGGTGGCTATAGAGTATCAAATATCACACCCACCGACCAGAGCTAAATAAAATGTTGGTTGAGGTTGAACCATCTCAAATTTAAGTTTCTTTATTTCATCCCTATAATGCCAGGTAATCGCTTCTGGTTCAGCGAGCCAGCCCAATACCACCTTTGAATCACCTTCAATTACTAAACTCTCTAAGTTCAAATCTTCTGCAATCTGAGCTCCTTGTAGAACAGCATAAAGTTCAGCCTTAACAGCATCCCCAACTCCCAAAGGTCCCAAGTATTGTGTCATTACAATACCTTCCTTATCTCTTATAACCCCAATTGGTGGTAATTAGAAGTGCATTATTTTCTTGCAAGCATAGCTGGCCAGAGCCATCTAGTCTTGGTGTAGTACTTATTCTGTTGCTACATTCTTTGTTTTGCATTGTAGTTTCTTCAATTTTGTAATCTTTTTTATTTCAAAATATTTAGTTATCATGGATTATGAACAACAGCAAATAATGCACTGAAGCAACAAATTTTCCAATAAAGATAAACTTCAGCCAAAAATTCAAATACCAAATCTGCAATGACAGCAGGATTTCGTGGATCATCTTCAGGTATTCCCTGTTCAACTTTTCCAACAAGGTCAGCTCCAACATCAGCTGCTTTAGTGTATATTCCACCACCCAACTGAGCAAAAAGAGCAACAAATGAAGCTCCAAAACCATAGCCCACTAGGAGAAGAGGCACTACAACAAAATTATATACATGTCAAACAACAGATCAAAGAAAATAACAAAACCAACTGGTTAGAAAAAGCAAAAAACCAGTTTGCCATTAGTATTGGATACTTTTGTAAAACTATAAGTTGAACCAGAGTACAGTGAGTTTGAAAGAGCAATTTTGCAGTTTCTTACATACAACTTGGAAGTAATTATACACTTTTTTTTATCAGCGGAAGTTATTATACACTTTTGTGCATGAAAAGGAGGGAAAAAGAAAAGAACAAGATAAAAGATTATTACTGTAGGTATATAGTGTTCATCCAAACCCTCCGAGAACATTAAAACACTGTATTGACACCACATGGACGCATGCGAACAGCCCACAGTCAACTTTCCTCCTGCGATGAACCCACGACGCACCATAGGCCTGCTATGAACCCACATCGCACATTGCAGAACCGCGATAAACCCACGGTTCATCGCGCGCTCTCGACGAGCCCACTCGCAGCCCGAGCCAAGGAAAACCTGGGCCAAACACGCGACGAGACCCGCACATGCTCAGAACTGCGATAAACCCTCTACCCGTTAAGGAATGCATCAAGACACCACGTAGGGCTAACAAGGCATTGCCCGCCAAGCAGTGACGTCACTAATGCCACGTCAATTAAGTAAGGCACACAAGAGGTGGTAGCACACGTGAGTAATGAGGGCTCCTGAGTGAAAGGAAAGTCGATCCTCAGCAAGATCCTCACGAGACATGTGGCAAAACCCCAGTGGTGCACTTAATGATTGACAGCAAATCCAATATTCCCTTTCCCGATAAGTGACAAGCACCTTTATCTCCTACCTTTTAGGATCTCGGGATCTCCCCCATAAATAGAGATCCTCCTCGTATTGGAAGTCATTCAGCACTCAAGCACTCTTAGCCTTGGACTCCCAACTCTACCATTCAAACCAGCACCCTAGCCTGAAATTGACTCTCGCTCCAAATTCTCGGTCTTTCTCTGTCTTTCAAAGAGACCATCCCCCAACCAAGCCTTACCCTACCTACAACTAAAATTTACAAAGACTCAACCATGCAGACTCTTTCCACTCTAGGTTATTAAGAAAAATACTAGGTAGTGCTCTTACAAATTCCTAATGTTTTTTTTTTTTTTTTGAAAGGTAAAAAACTTATTAATAAGAGGAGCAAAAGATGCAACAGATTCCTTGCCACAAGGAGACTAGCCAGGAATCAACACAGATTACAGACTCCATAGGGCCTGGGACCGAAACAACTCAGGCACATTCAGGTGCTTAAACTCAAGATTTATATACACCCAAGACACTAGTTTACAAACCACGAACTGTACTAATTCATCTGGACTTTTCATTTTGTCACAGAAAATTCGATTGTTTCTTTCAGACCAAATTGACCATAGGACAGCTGGAGGAATGGTTTTCCAAACCAGCTTTCCTTTTTTCTTCAAGCCTAGGATCTTCCAACAAAACAGTAGATCTTTGACAGAACTTGGCATGACCCAGCAGATCCCAACAGCATTGAGGAAGTGTTCCCACACCTTGGAAGAAACAGAACAATGGATGCTAAGGTGGTCAGTAGATTCGGGCATTGAGTCCACAAAGACCACACAAGATAAATCCAAAAGCTGCAGACCTCTCCTTTCCAAGCTGATTCTAGAAAAGGCATTTGTTTAAAACCATAAACCAAACAAGGAAGTTAGACTTCGAAGGAGAGATTGGATTCCAAATCTGCTTGCTAGGGAAATCAGTAGAGCCTGAGCTGCTGAGTTTAGCCAGGGATTTGACTGAGAAATAGCCATCTTCGCTCCATTTCCAAATCCATTCATCCTCCCAATTGACATCAATACCCTGCCCATGTAAAAAGTTCCAGCAACTCCAACACCTCACCCAACTCCCAGTCAAACAGGTTTCTTCTAAACTAAGGAGTCCAAATCACAGAATTATCAGAGGCATATGAGTCAGCCACCGAGACAATATTGGTTAGCAGCGCACTGAAAGAGGAGAGGGAAGGCCTCGACCAAGGGACTATCCATACACCAAGGGTCCTTCCAAAATCTCAGCCTGTCACCTCTACTCACCTTGAAACCAAACCTCCAGAGATAACAGTAAGGTTCTTCATAATTCCTTTCCAGATAGAACAGCCCCAGTTTGGAAGGGGATCTTGAGAATTCCTAATGTTCTTAAATGTTCAATGTCATTTCAGCTAAAATTTACTTTTTAAATCTCAGTTAAGGTAACTCATTTGGTGAAAACAATGGAAGCTTTCCGGCCTCTCTCCACAAATGACACTATTCAGAAATGACATACTGTTGCACATTCATCATTGACAGGTGATCATGATAAACTACTAAATCCCACCAGAACTAAGCCTCAAGAAACTTAAATTTGATGAGTGCAGTTTGGGAAGCCCCAGAATTTTAGGCGCTGATAGGTTGTCTAGAGACAAGAATAGCATTGCATTAGCTTTATACTCTGGACCTATAGGCATTGGGAACTCTAAAAGGGCTGAATTGTTGTTTTTGCGGGAATTGAGGATTGAAAAAACCTTGAACTACAACACAGTGGAAGAAGGCAACTCTAAGGTATAGTGCACTAATTCAATGATTCAATCAACAAGCCCATGGATATATAGGCAAAAGATAGGGAAGTAAAAAGATTATCTGAAGAGCTGGGAGAAAGATTTCAATGGACACATAGATCAGACAATGGCATAGCAAAACAAGAAACAAACAGGAAAAGATTGTTTTGGGGAATTACTTCCCATGGGGGAAGTCTGTAATCCTGACAACAAAAATGATGGCTGCTTAGCATTTTCCAGCCCACAACACGGGATGCCTAGCACATCGTACATATTTTATTATTCATGCTCAAGCAATAAAACTTAACAGATCTGGTAGTTGAAGGAGATTCCAAGGTAATAGTTAGCTGGCTGCAGAATTGGGACTGTCAATTGGGGCTACAGAGATCTTCTGAGGAAAGTAAAATGGATTACAACATGGCAGTCAATTTCCAATGGGTCAGCAGATCAGCTAATGCTTTGTCAGACTCTTTGGCTAAGCAAGGGGTTTCTTGGGCATCTTTGTATTGGGCTAATTTATAGTCTTATAGTGCTTTGGGTCTGTACTCATTCCTTTGGGGAGGTAGCATCTCGTGCCTCAAAGGCTGCTTGTACTTCCCTTTTTATCTTTTTAACAAAATTGCCTAATCATTCACAAAAAAAAAAGCAATAAAACTTAACAGTTACCAACATGAGTTCCAATAAGCAATAATAATTTGATGCTCAAGAATACTTGTGAGTGTAGATGGAGATAAAACAATATTTAGAGAAGAAAGTTTATTTCAAGGATGTTCCTTACAATTCCATGTTTGATTCTAATGCACTTTTGTATCTAATCTTATAGGGTGATCTATATAGGAGATATAATGCTTCTGCACAGTGCCTTATGCAGTTGTGTTACTGTATTCATTTTTCATATTAATGAAATACTTTAAACTTCTTTCAAAAAGAAAAAAAAAAATCAGTCATGGCTTACTTCATTGGGTTTTATACTAATGTAAAAGGTTACAAAAAAAACCCTGATTAGTGTAAGACACAAAGAAACAAAAGAGCCCATAAACAAGCATCTCTCAACACCACCCCTCAAGCTAGGTGAAAATGTTGTACATCCCTAGCTTGTGCAAATTTCATTCTAACTTCAACTGAGGGACTCCTTTGGTTAAATCAACTAGTCAACCACCTGACCTTCAAAACAATTGGCAAACCTCTGCACTAGAAACCTCCTAATGTACAAGTGCCTATCTATTTCTATATGCTCCATATGATTATGCTGAACAGGATTTTTTTTGACAAGCAATAGAAGTTTTACTAAAGATCAATAAGAAAGATACAACATGACCGCTTCCCACAAAGAGGCACAAGATGCAGGCTCAAAACAAAGCAAAAATCATGGTTTCAAATGTTGCGACATTTCGCTAATGTCGCCCAACATATGTTGATGTCAAGGCTCACCGACATGAAAATAGATGGTAATATAAAAATTACATTATTTCGGTCAACATTTCCTATATTTCGGAGTGGACCAAATTGGTCCAAATAACCAAAAAAAAAGATGGTTTTTTTCCTATTATGTCAACAGGATGTCAACTAATGTACATTAATATATTATATTAATATAATACAGTATATTAATATAAACTATTCTATTAATAATTTCTATTTAATACAAATAAAATATTTATAAAAAATAATTAACAAAAAATAAAAATAAAAGAATAAATTAATTACTTTATAATATAAAACATAAAATATTTTTCAAGTAATAAAATACTAACTAGTTAGTATTTTTAAAATATTTATTAAAATCAGAAAATGTTKATTAAATTTTATAATAAATTATATTCTAAATTTAATATAAAAATCAGAACAAATTTATTAAATTTTATACTAAATCATAATTTATTATAAATTTAGTATTAAAAATCATAATAAATTCATTAAGTTTTATAAGAAATCAGAATTTATCATAATCTTAATACTACAAAAAGGAGAATCAGTTTATTAAATTTATAATAAAACATAATGCATTATAACTTTAATATTTAAAAAATCAGAATAAATGTATTTCTATTTACTAGTGTGAAATAAATATATTAGAATTTATAATAAATCAGAATTAAAAATAAGAAAAGAAAATATCGGATAACCTTGAAGAAACATCAAAATGCATAATAAATCAGTAAATCGTCATTTACTAATTTGTTATTGATCTTAGTTTCTTAGCTTTATATAATGGTTGGGAATAAGATAATAGTCTAGAAATATGTATTAATGTTTCTTTTATCATTTTACAAATTATCATTGCATATTTCATAATATTTCCACAATGCCTCTAATTTTTACAATATTTCCCCTCAACATTTCCGACATATGTCCTATATTTTGGTAAGCGACACTTCCATCGACAGACATTTTAAACCTTGACAAAAATTACAAGCCAAAAATAACTGATTCTTATGCACCCCTTTCTTAGCTAGAAAATCTGCCAACCCATTTGCAGATCTCGTTTCCGATTGAATTCTGACTGTTGTATTTGTGGTTAGCCATTTGAATCTTCTCAAAGCCCCCCCTATAGGACCAAGGTGCGGGCTCTGGTTCTTGCAACCACCTGATTACCAGTTTTGAGTCCCCTCCAATTAGCAACTATTCAAAGCACAACTCTTTAGTAATTTCTGCTCCTGTAGAATTGCTTGGACTTTGCATTAACAGAATCCCCCACTCCAATAGAATTAAAACATACCCCCTCCTATGTATGCTAGCAATTACACTTACCTAGTAGAGCAATATTCTTCTAAACCAACTTCCCTAAACATACCCCCTCCTCCATCTTACTTTTAGAAACCAAACCCCAATTGCCATGGTGAATTTTATTTTCATCCCCAAGCTCCCAAAGGAAGTTTTTCATTACTTGTTCTAACCTCAACACCACCCTAACAAGGATCTTAAAAACGATTAGTAAGTAGGAGGTTAGCCAAAGTGGATTTTATATGGATGATCCTTCATTCCAAGGATAGATAGTTTTCCTTCCAGGTTGCCAACTTCTTAGAGAATTTCTCCACTATCAACTCCCAAAAGGTTAGCTTTTGGATTGCCACACAAGAGGAGACCTAGGTATTTAAATGGCAAGTGGACACAACACACACCATTATTGAAGTATATTCTTGCAATACCTCTTCCCTGACATTCTTGCTATGCAACTCTTCCCCACGTTGACCCTTTGATTAGATAGCCTCTCATACCAGTTGATCAACATCTTAAGATTTCTAATTTCTTGGCTCTCCCTATCCTTGCAACACAAAATGACATCACCTGTGTATCCTTTGTTGAAACCACAACTGTCAGCCTAGAAATTAACCAGCTCAGCACAGCTGCTATCAGAGTAAACAGAAAAAAGAATAAAGAGTCTCCTTATCTAATACTCCTTTTAGCAGGGAAAAATCCATTTTTTATGCATAAGGGAATATTCCCTAACAACCCCATTAACTAGAACCGAGTAGTGGCACACTTAGATGTGCCCTAAAATTCATCTCTCTCTCTCCAATCCCACATTTTTCCTAGATAGTGATAGAACAATGTTTAGAAGAAGCAGCTTGTTAGAAGGTCACTCAAAATCAATCGTGGCTTACTTCATTAGGTTATATACTAATGTACAAGATTACACAAACAACCTCAATTAGTATAGAACACAAACAAACAAAAATGCCCATAAACAGGCACCTATAACAAAAACACAAAACTCTTTCTGTTAATTGGAAAGGTTCCTCAAATGCTATTGGATGGTGAAAAGGTTTGGAAGAAACACAACAGATGCAAATCCTGAATTTCTTCTTTGTCATGGAAATCTTGTATAGCTGCATCTACAGCTTGCAATGGACTCATGTTTTATAATTTCATCATATGTATTATTATTTTGTAATTTCTACATACCATAGATCCAATCGTTTTTATTGATACTGTTCAAGGAAATGCTTGCAGATGCTGAAGAGAAACATTGAATTTCAGGGAAAAATCAAAGAACTTTTTAGTCCTATTCCCCAAGTCTCTTTGTTCTCTATTTTCTGCTTAAGTTCTAACATGGCAAGATATTTCTCTTTCCTCCTCACTTATATCATTTCTATACTTCCTGTTGTTGAAATTGCAATTCAGCATCTTTGATATACTGTCCAGATCTCTTTCATTTCCACTTTGAGCTTAAAACAGCCTATCTAACCATGACCAAATCCTACATGATCTGCAAATATATTGAATCAAATGCAGATAGGGGTATATCTGAATTCAACTCAATAAGAAAATCATGATATCATAATTTGATTCACATCCAATGGATATACAGATCTCCTGATTTGAATTTGATTCAATTTAATAATTAGATATCCAATTCCAATCTAAGTTGATTTGAATGTCATAGCAATGCCTCATGCACTGGGTTGCCCTTTCTAGCAATTCTTTAAACTACACCCAACTACAAAATGATCACAAGGAGAAGAAGATATGAAATTTCAGTGCTCTAAAAATACTAAATACTCATGCTCTAAAATTTGCAAGTTTTGTAGAAAATGTACAGATCCAGTGCTCCATAATGGTATGCGCTCCAGACAAATATATTATGCAAATCTGAAAACAGTGAAAGAGGTGTAGGGTTTTGAAATTTGGTCATCTTCTTGGCTATGCCTTAAGGGAAGAAAAATGGAAAATACCAACACAAAAAAAAGACTAATAGAGACATTAGTATCAGCTTTGTGATGATAGTGGTTGGCTAGTGAGTGAAGAGTCGTAAATGGGTGAAACTGCTTGCGACTCTATAAGGAATGGCAAGCGAAGAGTGGTGAGGCGGCTGGCTGTTGGTGAGACAGACTTAAGAGGGAGAGCTCTAGAGTTGTTGGGGGAGTTGAGGGTCATCAGTTCAGAGTCAAATATACCTGATTAGCAGATTCACCAAATTTGTGAGGATGATAATTGGTGAGTGAGTGAAGAACAGTGAACAAGTGAAACAACCAGCCACCGGTAATACAAAAATTCAAAGAAATATCATCAGAACTGAAATTTTTTCTGGGTTCAGAGAATATGGATTGAGCTCTTTTTTATTCGGTGCAGCACTTGCAGGAGCCTGTGCAATGGCAGATCCAAGTATCCAACCACCAAACCAAACATCATCAAAATCAAAACACCCAAAGAACCCATTTTTAGCAGATCGAATCATGTAATATCTGGATTTGATTCCATCGTTCGATTATTTAAAAAAAAATGGATATACAAATCCAGATTAAGCGGATCAGATGCAAATTTGAATTGGAACAGTATCCAATTCATCTGGAGACCTACCTACCTATCTCACATCTACAGCCAATCGTATTCTACTCAATCAACTATTTTCCTGCATCTCTTCTAAAGCCCAAATCTCACCTTTTGTAAACTGCTTTCCAAAATGAACATTTTGTTATCATACTAGCTCCAAGTCCTATTTTAATCTATCAAACAGACACGTTTTTTAACCATCTCTGTAGCCCATTAACCCACCCTTCACTAGAAACAGGGTGCTCTCACCACTCCTATATAAAAGAACAGACCATTAGTTTTTTATCAATGTCCAAGTTCTAATATTATACTCTGTCCTTTTTTTATATACCATTATTATAAGAATCTCCTTGATTGTAAGTTTGTAACTGTTAAAGAAAGGGTAGTCTAGTGGCTTGCATTGGACAAAACACCACTAGCGTGATCAAAAAGATATACTTGTCAAGGGTACCTCAATTTTGATAGAACATGAATTGTAACAAAGAAAAAGATAACCATTTCTAGCAAGTAGCCCTCATCATAACAGACAACAAATAAATATCAATGTGGTGGTTAAGTCAACACTTACAGTCTGTGACCTTCATTGAACCTGGTGAACCCACTCCTAACCAAACATAAAATGTGGCATAAAGGATGGACACTCCTACCACAGTCATACAAACAACAACAATGGCTGAAAAACCACCGGCACGGACAGCCACCTGTGCACAAAATATGATCAAAATCTATAATGTGTTTTCAGTTGAGCACAGATAAAGGAGTAAGTAGAGCAAATACCTGTAATGCTTCTCTAGCAGAACGTCTTGCAGCACTAGACACTCTAACATTTGCACGTACTGAGACCCACATTCCAACATACCCAGCAATACCCGAACATAGAGCACCAAGAAGAAAAGAAGCAACTGTAATGTATGCAGATGCTGACCTGAAACAGAAAAAAAAAAAAAGAAAAAGAAAAGCCCAAAAGAAAATTGTTATAAAAACATGAAACAAAAACGTAATATCCTAATGATGGAACATAAATGTCAGAAACTAATAATAAAACCTAATAGAGAGAAATTAGGTACAGTACCTCCCAATGCCAGATGATTCTTGTTGAGGAGTTGTACTGCGAAAAAGATATATGCTAAGAATAACCAGTCCTAGCAATAATGCCATCCTGGAAATTGTCCCGTACTGTGTCCTGAAGAAGCCTTCTGCACCATCCCGTATGGCATCTGATATCTAAAAGGAGAATGGTAAACTCAGCTAAAGTTCACAGTTTCAAATTTTCATTTTTTGAACTTTAAAACAGAAACTACAGACAAGGTTTTTTTAGAGTAACATAACTACATTAAAACAGAAGTGGAGAAGAATAATATACAACTGGCTACATCCCATAGATTAGGATGGTCAGATAAGAAATAGTATACATCAAAAACTCCCTTCCCCACCCCAAATAAATTCTCTCTATTCACCCCTTGTTTTGCCAATGCATCTGCCAACCCATTAGCCAATTTAAGGACCCATGCTACAATAGTATTTCTGTTTTTTTGAGTTCCTTTATTTCCTTGATTACATTTCTATACTGTCAAGAAACCTTATCCTCATTCTGCAACCAGTCCACTACCACTTTGGAGTCCCCTTCAATTTTCAAATCAGTATAGTTCAGATCTTTAGCCAACCTTAGACCTTGTAAAACAGTTAGTATCTCAGCCCCTGTTGGGTTTCCGAAGCCTAATTGTTCCAGAGAAAAGAGAGAATGTTTCCAATATGGTTTCTGAATGCTCCTCCTATCCCTGATTGGCCTAGGTTACCCTTGCTGCAACTATCAAAGTTAAGTTTGATCCACTGTTCTGAGGTTCAGTTGAGAGATGACAGCAACCCTAGATACAGAGGAGTTGGCCATCCAAATGTCAGCCATGGGTGATATCAGTGGCGAAACTCTTTCAAAAACCCCACTGTTCTGAGCCGAGGGACAATTTTTATGTTGATATGTCCATGATCGTATTTTTATCTTGGATCTTGTCTCTGAACAATCTCCTATTCCTTTCTTTTCAAATAGACCACAAAACAGATGCTCCAGAACATCTCCACGTTAGTTTCCATCTCTTCCTTGTGGATTGAAAAAAGTTGACTGAAAAAGGTCTATTAAGACAGAGCACCAAGAAAAACAACTTAAGTATCAATTTATCACAATAAATTGAGATAAATTGAAATAAACTATTTAAGAAAATATATTTTAATACCTATTCATAATCTAAATGTGTATATTAATCCCTCTTTAATGAAGTTTATTACACACACACACACACATGACCAATGTGAATGTCATGAAGAAATAAGACTTTTTATAGTAAAAAGAAATTTTCATTAAAATAAAAAAGGATGATTACCATGGTTTCAAATGTCGTGACATTTCGCTAATGTCGCCCAACATATGTCAATGTCAAGGCTCACCAACATGAAAATGGATGGTAATATAAAAATTACATTATTCCAGTCGACATTTCCTATATTTCAGAAATGTCGACCAAATTGGTCCAAATAACCAAAAAAAAAGACAAAGTTGGCCCATGCTTAGAAAGGGAGGGGTCCTCAAGATACCTGAACTGAGATTGGATGAGTGGTCTCTGCATGTTGCGCAAATCACAGAGCAGAAAACATTTGTATGGTTAGAGGTTTTTAGAATACCTCTACGTGCATGGAGCACTCAGACTCTTAAGGAAATAGGGAATGCTTGTGAGAGGTTCAAGCGTTATGACTTCCATAACAGACTTTGAGAACAAGTGCAATCTGCAAAGATTCTAATTGAAACAGAAAATTCAAATCTGGTCCATGCCGGGGAAGCCTACGAATTGCAGATAATGGTAGGAAGCCGCAAATCTAACTTTTGTCTCAATTGATAACTTGTTTGAAAGGGATAGAGAGAAAAGAGAACTGAAGGAGATGGTTAGGGTTTCACAGGACAACAAGGGAAGTGAAAAGTCAAGGATGAAAGGGAAGGAGAAAGTTGAAAGGACAGGGATTAGCAGGGGTAAAAAAAGTAATTTCCCGAAGATTAAAGGATGGCAGTGGAATTTTGAATTTTAATCAAAATTGGTTGTTGGGTTGGGTGCTAATATTTTAAAGCCCACTAAAAATGAGAAGGGGGCTAGCCCATGTTTCACTCAAGATACAAGCCACGTCAACAGTTCATTTGAAGAAAGAAAAAGTAATCGAAAAGAAGCTCATTAGAATAGAAGTTTGAGGGTTTTGATAGACAAAGAACTAAGGTGAAAGGTGTTGACAGTTCAGCTAGTGGCCGGATAGCTATATGGGCCCAATTATCTTTTATGTTTTTATTACCTATTATGTTCTTTTAGTTGTTGGGGTTAAGCACACTTGTTCTTTTATTTTTTAAGCAGCTTGTGACCCCTTTAGTTCCAGACACCCTATGAAAGGCTGTTTAGTCTTTGTACTACAAAACTAAGTATAAAGATAACTGAGGGGACAGCTAGAAAGCTTTTCACCTTTCCCCTCATTGTCTCCTTCCTCCCTTCTGTTATGGGCCCGGGAATAGGATCTCGTCACAGGTCGGTCCACAGGGAAAACCTCCTATTTTCCCTTGTTCCTCCCTGCTCTTGATGAACCTATCTTGGCGCCCTAATGGTGATTTGTCCAAGAGAACACCTAACTCTCCTTGCTCTCTTTCTTGACTGAAATTTTCGATATGTTTATTGAATAATATCAGCTCCTTAAATAGGAGATTACAAGAGGTAGAATACTACTTTTAGGAAGACTCCTTGCTAATCTACTACTCTATCCTATTAAAC